ACGAAAAGGAGCTCATGTCAATAGATATAAACAATTCACCAAAGTTATATGCAAATTGGTTAAAGCGGTTTTGAGTTAATGTCCAACATGTTGACGACAGACAGACAGACCGACAAGGGTATACCATAGTACGTCCCGTAAACGGGCGTATAAAAATGACAGGGTGTCATACCACACCAAAACCTTCTGAAGGAAACACTAAGTTGGCAAACAAATTGGTTTTTTTTTCATTGACAACCCTGTATAACCTTACAGCAGTATCGAGTCTATATGCATTACCTTGTATATTTCATGTACATTGAACTTAAATATATGTGGTCATTGTCAAAGTTAGTTATGTCAGCTATAATTTACACATTTACTGAAACATGTCAGAGAAGTGCATGTACAAACTTTTGAATTTGATCCTCAAACTGGGAAAGCCATCCTTTTTAATGAATAAAATCCCACAATTCTGAAACCTAAAACCTTAAATTTATAAAATTGAAAGGGAGCTTGCATCAATATATATATATACACCATTAACCAAAGTTTCGTGACAAATGACAACTGCTTAAAGCATTTTCGAGTTAATGTCCGAAAACATGGAAATCCCCCTTTTTGAATGAATAAAACCCCTTACATTGTAACTGGATAATGTAAATTCTAAAATTTCAAAACAATCTAAAGGGAGCTCACATCAATACATGAATACAATCCCATATAACATTGTATAACTCTGAAACGGGACACCTAAAATTTATAAAATAATCAATTCACAAGTTTCATGCAAATTGGTGAAAGCGTTGAAGAGTTAGTGAACAAAGCATTTTTAGAGTTAATGGGCGATAACATGAAAATCCCCCTTTTTTAATGAATAAAACCTCACATTTTGAAAACGTAAATTATAAAATTCCTAAAAATCTAAAAGGGAGCTCACGTCAGTAGATATAATCAATTCACCAGAGTTAAGCAAATTGGTGAATATATTACTGAGTAAGTGAACAACATGCTAGAAACAGACAGATCAGGAAAGACAGACGGACAAAGGCATACCATAATATTTCTCATGAACAGGCGTATGAAAACTGCAGGGTACATTTTGTACCATTCCAGGCCAACACCCTCTAAAGGAAACACTATAAGGGAGCTTCCTTTCCATTTTTATTGGGGAAAAAGGGGGGGGGGGGGGCTAGGATGAAAATTTTGTCCTGAATTTTTGTTTAGTTGAGTTGTAATCTGTCCTGTCTTTTTATTTTTCACTCTTCTTTTGTCCTGCCTTTTTTTCTATTAGTTTATCCTGACTTGTTTTTACATAAATTGTCATCCTGCCTTTTTTTCAAATTGTCTCATGACCTGCCTTATTTTTATTTAAAAACTCATCTCCTGCCTTTTTTTCAAATTTCACCCTAGACCCCCCCCCCCCCCCCCTAAAATTAAATGGTAGCTCCCTAAGTTAGCAAAAAAATTATTTTATTTTTACATTGACAAACCTGTACAACCTTGAAGCAGTATCAAGTCCATGTATTATCCTGCATATTATTACATGTACATTGAACTAAAACAAAATGTGGTCATTGTCAAAATTATAATTTACAGTTTACTTTTCCATTGCTTTCAATTTAAGATTAGGGCATTTTTGTCGTTGGAATTGAGTTTTGTAGTCGGAGATTACTCTAACCTCCAACGACGGTTTTGCGACACCAGCTAGGGCAGTGGGACTTCAGCTCGTCCCATATCAGATAGATGATATTTGCCCGTCCCAAGTGGACGTGCTGCTTCGTTGCTTTTGGAGGTGACTGGATCCATATAAATCAAGCCTCAATTTGTTCATTTTTCATTTTTCTCTTCATTTAAGTAAGTTTGATCGACCTGCCACCCGTTATCTTCTCATATTTGGACAGTTTTCACAATGACACATCAGTACTGGAATTTTTACTTTGACTTTAAAAGATTGTGACATGACCAACAGAAAAAGTAATTTACAATGCATTATGGGAGCTGATTTATGCAAATGACCCTCAGTCAATAGGAAAACATAATCTAACACCTCGTTCATTAATGATGCAAATAAGCTGAATGGCCGAGTGTGTTCAATTTGAAAATAAGAGTTAAAATGCCGGAATCGCAAAACAGACGTTGGACGTCAGAGTAATCTCGGACTATGAGTATGAGTTTTGGGCAATTTGTAGGGGGGGGGGGGTTCAAGGGAAGCAAATGCTCTTTAAATTATGTGTATTTCGAAAATTGAGGAGTTGAGTCATTTTATTCAGACTTAATTTAAATAATGACTAATGTAGACACCTTCTAATTCTATAAAAAAAAATTCAGAACTGACTATTGAACAGGAACAATGGTATTTTTTTTTCTATGAAACTACACTATGACATCTGATCTGCAAAACCTACAAACAGACACAGAAATATCATCAAAAAGTGAAATATAAGATTGATTGCACCTTGTATGGATAGTTCCGACACGTGTTACATGGGGGGCCCGTTTGTACAAATAATAATGTCACGTGATCACGCACTGACGTCACCAATTTTTATCACAAATGCATAACCCATTTATCTTGCGGACATGCAATGGGAATGTGCACGGTTATCAAAAACTACAAAAATATTGAATGTACAGTTAATGAAGAAGTTATTTCATCAAATAGATAAGATTTTCACTCATGACACAAATCGACTGGGTGTCATCGGGGATAATTGATCATAATTGATATAAATGGGATTAAATTGACCGCCAAGAAGGTCTAGAGAACCACCTCTGGAGAACCTTAACATTAATAAGTAATACTTACCAAAATTTCTCTATAATTAACGCTATTCTCGGTTGGAAAATTTCAGAAAGATGCTGATAAACTTATTTGGTGATACAGATCTTGTTTTGGCGCGAAATATTCTTACTCTTAATGCTTGACGTAACAAAATTTGTATAGAATTATATTTAACTAAAGCTCAGCGTAAATATGCAGAAGCATAACAATACATTAATGATAAAATGTGTAAATATTTCTGTAAAAGAATATAATTTTACTTTTCCAATATACTTCACATAGAATTACATTTGAGCGCAAGAAAATCTATATGTGAATTAGCTGAATCCCGGGGTCGAAGTTCAACATATCAACGAAAATTTTTGCGTGTGCTTGCGTTGCTTTAGATCGAGGCCACAGTTTTTCAACCAATCGGGGAATGTTTACTTGGGGCATACATCTATTTTTACTGCAGGTTTCGACATGTTTAAATCGGGATTATAGAAAAATGGAATTTTGTTGGTAGATACAAAACAGAAAATGATGAACACTTTTAGCAAAACATAAATTGGATCGGGGTCTGTGTATTCACATTATTTGTACAGCTCTCCTTACTTTTGGGAAGCGTGTGCTTTACATCGACGCCATAGTAATTCAACCAATCGGTGAATGTTTATTTGTGGCATACATCTATTTTTACTGCAGGTTTCGACATGTTTAAATCGGGATTATAGAAAAATGGAATTTTGTTGGTAGATACAAAACAGAAAATGATGAACACTTTTAGCAAAAGATAAATTGGATCGGGGTCTGTGTATTCACATTATTTGTACAACTCTCCTTACTTTTGGGAAGCGTGTGCTTTACATCGAGGCTTGTGTTGCTTTACATCGACGCCATAGTAGTTCAACCAATCGGTGAATGTTTATTTGTGGCATACATCTATTTTTACTGCAGGTTTCGACATGTTTAAATCGGGATTATAGAAAAATGGAATTTTGTTGGTAGATACAAAACAGAAAATGATGAACACTTTTAGCAAAAGATAAATTGGATCGGGGTCTGTGTATTCACATTATTTGTACAACTCTCCTTACTTTTGGGAAGCGTGTGCTTTACATCGAGGCTTGCGTTGCTTTACATCGACGCCATAGTAGTTCAACCAATCGGTGAATGTTTATTTGGGGCATACATCTATTTTTACTGCAGGTTTTGGCATATTTTAATCGAAATTAAAGAAAAATGGAAGGATGTTAGGAGATATAAAACAGAAAATGATAAATATTTTTAGCAAAAGATGAATTGGATCGGGGTTCTGTGTATTCACATTATTTGTACAACTCTCCTTACTGATGGCAAAAATTGGAATTTCCGTGACCTAAATGGTTCGCGAAAATTAATATTTTTATATATATATAGTAACAAGAAACTCTTGGAGCCTGAATCATTCACCTGCCAAACATACCCCTTCATTTTACAAGAGTACACACCTTTTGAAAAATGTAGCGTTGGATGAATTTGTTCTCGTTAACACTCCAAAGTTTCGAAAACCTTTCGCTAGGTAGTCTCCAGATGAAAAAATATAAAAAAACCAACAAGCCAATTAAAATCAATGATTGCCCTGATGGTTTTTTCAAAAGGTTTACGGATGCCAAGTGATGATAGTAGCTCACTTAGCCCAATGGACTAGTTGGGGTTATAAAAAAAAGTTGAAAAGCACGCTTTACATTTTGCAATTGCACTATTGAATTGGATACGAACAGATAAAAATGCATATAGAATATTTAACTGAAATAAATTCGTTGTGATAGCCTAAAAAATGCAGCTTTAAACATATTGAATCTTGTAAAAACGTTTTTACTATCAGGTTAAAAACTATGTTCATTCTGAAGTATTTAATTACACAACAAACAGTAAAAATTATTAAATTCGGTTTATCAATTGGTATATCTGTCTTAATGTTTTATTAGAACAAATTGAATGGCATTATATTTGTAAATTGAGTTTGACATCAGATATAAGATTAAATACTAGTGAATTGAAATATAGCTTTTTATCAAAACTTTCAGATCAATGTCCATATAATTCATTTGTTAGGCCACACCAATTTGATTTGTAGTTCTTCGGACAAAAGCTCCAAAAAATATGGGAAGAGCGAGCGAAATTTTTTTTATTTAATTTTTTTCTTGAAAATGAGTTTTTTTTTTAGACGAGTGCTCTACAAGTGAAGCGAGCTGTATATTTTTTCTTAAATTGTGCGATTTAGAGTTTATGTACATGTTATAACTGGGTTACTTCATAGAAAAACGAGGAGAAACATGCTCTAATGCATATAATTTGATTTATTGGTGCCTGTACTATACCAGACTTTCTTGTCTCACTGTGGTTTAGTTAATTTTGATTATTTTCGTCAAATAAGCTTTGTCTGCGTGAATTTTCATTTAAATCCATACATGTATATATATTAAGGAAGCATAGCAGATGCAGTTTTACAAGAGGAATTATGTTAGTTAGGTAAATGACATATGTTGAATAAAATTAAAATATGTGTATGTATCCAAAAGAATGCCCCTGAAAGATATTAAATATTTTTTGATATAGTTGTTTTCATTATATGGTAATGATTGCTTATTGGCTGCTTGAAATCCAGTTGGAACTATTTATCCATATTTAGGATCAACATAATGAGTGAGGCAAATATTTCTTGCGTTGTACTAAAACAACATCCTGAGTAAGATAGTTATATTGCTATGCATGTAGATCTCAATGTATTAAAATATTCCCTTAAATTACCTGTCACCACATTCACATGCATTATTCTGACTGAGCAAAATACTTTTTCCTTTTGCTCCTAAAAGCTGCAATGCATTTAAAACTCTTTAGCTTGACTAGAAGTGGTTGAACCAATTACACATCCCTATTATTATGAGCATGGCAATCACAATACTACCACCTTGGTCTCGAACGTTGGAACTCTTAAATTTCCCCTAACAAATGAGTTCTGCTTGCATGCCAATAGACTAACAAGAGGATATGGGGTTTCATCAAAATAAGATAGTTCTGTGATTTTTTAAAAAGTTCATGGAAATTTACAATTTATTTCATCGAAGATAGATAGGTCTATGCCTGTTGAAACAAGGATCGGGGATGACGATGGTTCTAACAAATATTGATGTGATTGTGGTCATCTAATGAAAGATTTTAAATTTTTGCCTCCTAGAACAGGTCTTCAAAGGTAAAACGAGATGCATTTCGGATAACTGTGTGTTCAATAACTACTTGTCCACGGCAATTAGCTGACACAACTGCATGTTGGCATCCCAATTTTTGACCTTTTATTTACAAATCGATTTATCACACGTGCGTTTAAATCGATCGGACCAATAAATGCAATAGAAAAACGTCTATGTGAAAAAAAAATTCAAGGAGAAACTAATTTTGGAGCGGCATGCGGACCAAAAATTTGCGGAAGCGGTAATAATTTTTTTTCATTGAAAAGTCAATTTCTCCAAAACAGGAGCGGGAAAATCCAAAGAACTAGGAATCAAATTGGTGTGGCCTTATGTCAATTCCTTCAGTCTTTTTCAATAATCAAAACTGTCATTTAAGACGTGTAGTAATTGACGAATATTGCCAAGAACAACATCACAGTGACTATGACAATCATGGCGATGTAAATGTTAAAAAACACTTTGTCCATTATTTTGGATAGTTTTTCCCAGGTCAACTCGTTGTCCATCGAACTGATTGCTTCAACAACTGGAGGGTGACCTTTCTTTACTATTTTCATATTTGCTATGGCCGTCTGTGTCAGAACTTCAACCTCGGTTTCTCTTTGATTTTCGCAACATTTACAACAACTCTGCATGCCAGCAATTTTGAGAAGACATTTCTTTGTCATGGTTTTAACCCATTGTGGTATTTCATCTTCCTGTGATTTGAAATGCAGACTGAGAACAATGATTGTAAGGACAACTGATGTAGCTCCAAGTGTTAGAATAAATACCAGGTATATAGCTGAAATATGAAATAATAAACCAGTTTTGTAAAATTATATCACATTATATAAGTAAAATGTCTCCAAGGCGTTAGCTATGGCGGGAAATATTATCATAAATACGTTGAACTCTCTAATAGGTTAAATGAAAGAAAAAGGTATCTTTTTTGTTTTTACTCAATGTCTCTTTTCATTTGTAATTTCAACAGTAAAATGAATCTATATCTATATTTCATCATTATTTGTATTTCATTATTATTAACATATATGGACACAGGGTATGTAGTTGCATACACATAGACAATCAACAAAATTTGGAGAAAAAAAAAGAGATTTTTTTTTATTGATCAATTTCATTCGTATTGATTTAACAATACTGTCACAAAATTAAAAAATTAAAAACCTGACCACAACAGTCTGCCTATTCTATTTCTTGAATTTGAAATAAGCGGCTTTCAATAATCTCATCATAGATACCAGGATCAAAATTTCGTACGCCAGACAAGTAATATTTGAAACATAATCAATTGTTTTGATAAATGAATAAATAACATTTCTGATATTTTAATTGCTGAAATATATTTTGCGATGTCATTGTGACATCATTAACACGCTAAAATTGCAAAGTTATCATTTCGATCCATCTTTTGGTACAATCAAACGTGAGCAACGATCTACTGGGGTAACCCCAAAATTATTTGAATCAGATAAAAGTTTTTTTAACACATCTGAAACGTGTTGTTCGTTTTTGTATACTTTGTTATATATAAGCTATATTGTGTGTTGGTTTTTTTAATATTTGAGATTTCTTTGGAGGAGTCCGCTTTTTGTAATTAAAGTGGTAGGTTGTACTGTCCAGTATTTTTGTTGATTACTGTTATCATATTTATGAACGTGTTGCTGGTAACTGGTACAACCATAATTTAGTAGATTTACTATCAAAAGATTGAAGAAGCGTTTTGTTGTAAAATGTTAATTTAAAAAAGGGTTCCTGCTCAAATGTAATAATTGATGAATAGATCTAAAAGAAAGTGAATAAAGGGTCGCAATTCTTGTATTTTTACTTTAAAAGAACTATGATGGCCACAAGCTAATATATTTAATGACTTTTGGTGTCGTTGGTTTGATGTCTCATTGACGTAAACCCATTTCTCCTTTTATTCATATTTAAACAAAAATCAAAAATATGACTGATATCTGACAAGAAATATCTTGTGAAAATCTGAAAAATGTTATTTGATGGATTTATTATTTTACCTCGATGTTTTCAAAAATTTAATAATACAAAATGTTGACCTTTTACCGTTTTCCTTTATGATTTTAGATGGAACAGTGCACGTTTGATTTTTTATTACAAATTTACAGGACCATCTATAACCCTTACCATATATTCTTCTTTTATTAAGAACAATTCAAGAAAAAGTAACAAAGATGACTTTAGAAATATGTTGTAACTTTATATGTTAACCACAGAAGTTTTACTTACAGAGGTAACAGATATGGACAGAGGTACTGGGAATATTGTCCGAAATCATGGTCAGATATACAGCATAGGCTAATAGAACGGTCAATGAGAAACCTATTTTCTCTCCTGAATCCACCGGCAGCTTGAACACCATAGCAATCAAAATTGCCATCAATGCAACAGGGAACAATGTGTTAATGATGTGGAACATCGGACGGCGCTGGAGTTTGATTGAATAAGTCAGACTTGAAAACGAAATTCCCCCTCTTGATTTGGAACCCGATTTGCTACTTGATGCAGAAATTAGATCCCATTCACCATTTGCTGAATAGAAACTGAGGTCTACAGATTCAGGTCCAAAGTCTAATGAAACTTCTGCGGAGGTATAAGCCCAGGAACTTATCTTTACCGTACATTGTTGTGTGTCCAGAGGGTAGTACGTGATGTCAGATTCACAGCTCACTTCGTATATGCCCGATGGATTCCAAACTATGTTTCCATCACTCACAATTCGCATTGGAATGAATTTATCATTGATAATTCCTATGTCCTTAACTCTGAAATTTTAATTTACACATATTCGTCACAAACCAATTTATTTTCATTTGGCTGTCCTTGTTCAAAGGAATAAGCTGTCAGTGATTTTCAAATGGGTGATTGTATGTTCTTCAATATCTGTACATTTCATTTCTGTTGCCAAATTATTTGATTTTTTATTTGAAAGATTGCTTTATATCTGGTGCGGTATTTATACATTTCTTATAGAATAACAGTGCATGATGCCGATTTTTCATCCACTTTCATCTTCGCTTTTTTTGTTCACAAGTTCTTTAGAATCATAGCAATTCAGAACTTGATAGACTGTTTTTTCTAGTCTATGTAAATATCGTTACCTCGAAAAAATTAATTCCCGTTTTTTTGTTTTTTTACTCTTGTGTCTCAAGGACGTTTAAACAACGTTTTATTATATTCATCTTTTCATGACATAAATAACAGTTGACGTCTTTTTGCATAACGTTTCATATTAATGGTTTAAGGTACTTATGATCTCTGTTGATCTTGACCCTGTCCCATCTCCAAAAAAAAAAAATATAAACAAAAGCAATTCCTTAGTGCGAGTTTTGCTTCATTTTGACTGTGTCATCTAAAAGCTACATGTTATAATTAAAGAAAGTATGCATCATCCTTTTATTAGTATCATATATTTTGACACTTGAAATGGAAATTCTTAACTTTTCCTTTAATCTTGCAGTATCAAAACCATCAGAGTGTTTTAATATACTTACGAGTTTTCTATGATAAGCGCGGGTCTCCAAACATATTCTTCTGTACTGAAGAGGAATCTTACATTGGTAAAGTCTTGTGAGGTAGTGGAACTGTTTGACCAGTCTAATCTGGAATCCTGCCAAACCTTAATATCGCATGAAAAACAACATTATCTACTGGACAAATGCACGAAAATTGTCAATTACAAGTTAAAGGAAATATAACAGATAGTATTTCTATTGAAAATAGACAACGCTTGAAATCTTAAAAAAATTGATGATATCTAAATGTTATAAAGTCTGCTTGAGGAATCGTACTATTCATTGAAAATACATAAATCGTAAATTTGTTTGGTAATTTTGACACACTTTGTGTGTTCTGTTTGGTGTAGTCGCAACACTACCTTCTCTTCTTAGTTTATTATTTATTACCGGACTTCTACCATGAGTAGCCCGACATTTGTGAGATAAAGACCAGGAATCCTTGTGTAAAATTCCCTTGCATATAATAAACGCTAGCTAAAATTTACCGTACACTAAAGCAATCCCAGATTATGAAGACAACGACAAACCCATACCATACATTTGTTATGTTTTAGTTCTTAAAATATATCACGTAGATTTTCTTTTTCATTTTTAAGGATGTACTTAGGTCAGGTTTATGAATTTTTGTCAGATGTTCGGACTTCTTGGGTTTTTTCCGACGATACAAGGTAAAAAATTTACCCCATATCACCCACTTTTCTTTTCATAGAAGACTTCAATAGCTCATAAAAAAATCATTACCAACTTTAGGCAGATTCTAGATTTGTTTTCTTACGATTTGAGACCCAAATAATGCCAATGCTAAATATAAGGTTAAAGTCCGAGTCAGCCTTTTCCCGCCATTTAAAAAAAATCAAATATCGCAAAAAGGAGTTCCATAACCTTTCAATATTTTTAGCTTATTTTGTTCCTTTACTAATGCTCTTCTGACTTATAGTATCAATTTTAAATTCTAGATTTTTTTAATTTCACCTAACTACATCCTTAAGGGCATACGATACATATAGAATAACCATATATTGTCTCGAAATATAAATTTTATTTGTACAAGGCTTAGAAACATGTAGAAAGCGAGGCTTTGCCGAGCATTTCTATCCTGTTTTGAGACGAGTACAAATAAAATGTATATCTCGAGACAATGTATGTTTATTCTTTATATACTGCAACTCCTATAACTGTTCTAAATGAAATATTTGGGGTAAAAACCATCATTTTTTAATTTGGAGCGGACGACGTAAAACTTTCGCGAACCTTTATTGTTTATTGACGTCATAAATAAAACTCTACGGAAACGCATTGTCAACGTCATAAAGACAAGGCAATATACGGTCAGTGAATGTATATCACAAATGATTATACGGTAAATGCAATTTGACTGCAAATTAGACAATATACGTATAGTGTCTTGAAATATGAAATTTATTTGTATGAGGCTAAGAAACGGGGGGAAATGCGAGGTTTACCGAGAAATGCGAGGTTTACCGAGCATTTCCCCCTGTTTCGTGCCGAATACAAATAAATTTCATATTTCAAGACACTATACGTATATTGTCTTTATACTGCAATCGATAAAAAACATAAAAAATAAAATAAAATACGTAACAAATTTATTGTTAAAAAAAAGTGTTTGGAATTTCCCTCTTGGGGTACCATTGTTGGGTATTTCCCTATAAGCGTAGTAACTCATAAAGTCCAGGCGATAAGACATTGACATTTTTAGGAATTAGAAAGAGAAAATAAACTAATTTAATAGTATTTAATAAATATGGTATGTAAATTACGAATTTCAAGACATAACAAGTTTAAATTTACAAAAGTTTGACAATTGTTACTACACGTTGTCATGGTTGTGACGTGACGTTGTTGATGAAATACAGTAGTTCCGGTAAGTAGGCGTGGCTAATAGGTTAGTTGAGGTCATTGACGTATAAAGCTAACGTTTATACGTATAGCTTTATCTGTATAGTAAAATAGCTGATTGCAGTATAAAATAGCACAGCTGCCGTATATAGTTACAGGGGAGGTAATGACGTCGCTAACGTAAAATGTTATTTTTCGCGACGTCAAACTGTGACATATCGGGAAAAGATGCATCTTTTGACTGATTTTTATCATTCAGACTGATTTATCTTGAAAACGAGTTCATGGACCACTCTTTCTAAAAATGACATTTGGCTTGATTATGTATGAAGATTACTTGTGCCAATTTTTATAAACAAATCACCGATGAATTTATTTTAAATTGGATATATATGCAGCAAAAATGCCGTTTTTTTACTAAAATCATGAAAATGTGATAGAAATTAATTATTTCCAAAGATGTGTTACACAAATTCAAAGCACACTTATATAGAGAAGATATCACAGATGTGTTTACAAAAGTCCGCTTGCGTTTATCTTTTAAAACAAAAAAGTTAGGTATGTCTTTCCAAAGGATAGAAATGTCAAAGAAACCGAAATTTCTAGTAAATGTCTAAAATTTCGATCCCAATTATCTCTAAAATAGCACATGAAGGTATATTTCTTATTACATATATGAATTGACTAGGTGAAAAATGGGATCAACACTGTATCGTATGCCCTTAATTGCTTCTGGTAACTAATATATTAATTTGAAATTACGACGACAGACACATACAGGTTATACCGTTTGCGATATTTCAGAGTTTAACCTTGCCAAGCGCACAAATCCAAGCGGAAGAGTCAATGACGTCATTGTTTGTTCAATGAAAAATTAGTATGAAAAAGTACGGGAAATATGTTTATAAAACTATTGAGCGGGGTAATAGTCTTTGAAACGATTGACTGGCAAATAGTCTGTGGAATGAAAAAGCACAAATATTTCATTCTTTTTTATATAGAAAAAACATACTGAGGTATAATAATTAACGGTATTGTATTTATGGTCACATTTGCACAGCAAACACTACTACTTGTGAGCCTTGTAAATTAAAGTAATATAATGTAATAAAATGTAAGCTTTCTAAATAATGTTAACAAAATAAATTTAATACTTATATATCAGCATTCAATGTTGACATTACGCAATATATTGGTAAAAGTTTCGGTGAAGTTCAAAACTTCATTTTTAGGTTTTTATAAATATATAAGTTGTGTAGCTCTTTTTTTTTTAACATTTACAAACTATAATTAATTAGTGTTTTACTTTTACTAGTTTCTTTTGGTGTTTTGCATTAATTAACAGTTTATGTATATATTTACCAGATCGTTGACAGTTAGAATGGTTAAACTGATAAATATTCTGACGTTCTCACGAGGTCTCTGTAACACTTCATAGTCCATGAACAATTCACGCCTTAGTGTTGTTTCTAATGATGTACTGTATTCTGGTTTATCTGGACCTGGTCCTCCTGGTCCTAAGCCGCCTCTAGTTTCTGGCAATGCTGTAAGAAACACTTTGAGAATAATGTCGATGTTTTGATTATTATGATATTAATTGCATCGGATTTAAAGTGTGTGTCTAATATATATATAATTTTTGAATAAAATTCACATTGAACAATGTACCAAAAGCATATTTAGACGTATAAAATTGAAATTAAAATTTGATGTGAAGGCATGGTAAGTAAAATTATCATCCTTTACGACAGACAAAAAAACAGCTAATCTGAAAAGTATACCAACTACTAGCCACTATACATCATGTACTGTGCTACAACCCTGGATAACGCCGACGAAGAAAGGCATTACTCGACTAACGAATGCTATATTTTTATATAGCCTAGTTAATAGAGTGGTCTAGTGCGCTGGACACAGTGCTGGCGGTGTTGCCACGATGTCTCAGATGCAGGTGTTCGAATCCCGCTGAGGGAAGAACAAAAATTTGCTAACGCAAATTTGCAGATCTAACATTGTTGGCTAAATTTGAGATGTAGTATATATATAAATTATGGGGTTAGTCCTGTAGAACCACAAATTATCCGATGGAGAACATCTGTCGTAAAGATGTCACACATTTAGACGTAAACAAGTCTAAATTGAAAACAACGTTCAAACCTATGATTGCGTTGGATAAAAACCGCAATTTTTATACGTGTGCATGCAAAACAAATTTCTTGTTAGAGGGGTCTAAATACAGCACAAACAACATTTTCCAAAAGACCAAAAAAGTGAAAAAGTATATTTTAACAAAACGCATTTGACTAACAGGTCGAACAACAAATGTTCTTAAATCCTGCTGACTGCCATTGGCGATTGCCAAATAAACGGATCACAAGGTGTAATAAATGGATCTTAACTATAAATTTAATATCAAACAGAAAACAATAAACTTGCAGCAAAGATGGTATACCGCAAACAAAGGTGCAAAGATTTTTTGTACACCATATCCGGATTTCGACAATTAATGTCTCTTCAGCTATGTTAGGAATCGAAACGGTTATTGGAAGGTCACATAATTTACATCAATTTAGGATAGACTCTTGAATTTTGAGGAGTCAAAATAGGATGAACGGATCATATAAACCCAAAGGCAAATGTAATACAAGCCCAAACGAAAAAATATAAACAAGTCTAAATTGAAAACAACGTTCAAACCTATGATTGCGTTGGACAAAAACCGCAATTTTTATAAGTGTGCATGCAAAACAAATTTCTTGTTAGAGGGGTCTAAATACAGCACAAACAACATTTTCCAAAAGACCAAAAAAGTGAAAAAGTATATTTTAACAAAACGCATTTGACTAACAGGTCGAACAACAAATGTTCTTAAATCCTGCTGACTGCCAATGGCGATTGCCAAATAAACGGATCACAAGGTGTAATAAATGGATCTTAACTATAAATTTAATACCAAACAGAAAACAATAAACTTGCGGCAAAGATGGTATACCGCAAACAAAGGTGCAAAGATTGTTTGAACACCATATCCGGATTTCGACAATTAATGTCTTTTCAGTGATGTTAAGAATCGAAACGGTTATTGGAAGGCCACATAATTTACCTCAATTTAGGATAGACTCTTGAATTTTGAGGAGTCAAAATAGGATGAACGGATCATATAAACCCGAAGGCAAATATAATACAAGCCCAAACGAAAAAATATAAACAAGTCTAAATTGAAAACAACGTTCAAACCTATGATTGCGTTGGATAAAAACCGCAATTTTTATACGTGTGCATTCAAAACAAATTTCTTGTTAGAGGGGTCTAAATACAGCACAAACAACATTTTCCAAAAGACCAAAAAAGTGAAAAAGTATATTTTAACAAAACGCATTTGACTAACAGGTCGAACAACAAATGTTCTTAAATCCTGCTGACTGCCAATGGCGATTGCCAAATAAACGGATCACAAGGTGTAATAAATGGATCTTAACTATAAATTTAATACCAAACAGAAAACAATAAACTTGCGGCAAAGATGGTATACCGCAAACAAAGGTGCAAAGATTGTTTGAACACCATATCCGGATTTCGACAATTAATGTCTCTTCAGTGATGTTAAGAATCGAAACGGTTATTGGAAGGCCACATAATTTACCTCAATTTAGGATAGACTCTTGAATTTTGAGGAGTCAAAATAGGATGAACGGATCATATAAACCCGAAGGCAAATATAATACAAGCCCAAACGAAAAAATATAAACAAGTCTAAATTGAAAACAACGTTCAAACCTATGATTGCGTTGGATAAAAACCGCAATTTTTATACGTGTGCATTCAAAACAAATTTCTTGTTAGAGGGGTCTAAATACAGCACAAACAACATTTTCCAAAAGACCAAAAAAGTGAAAAAGTATATTTTAACAAAACGCATTTGACTAACAGGTCGAACAACAAATGTTCTTTAATCCTGCTGACTGCCATTGGCGATTGCCAAATAAACGGATCACAAGGTGTAATAAATGGATCTTAACTATAAATTTAATACCAAACAGAAAACAATAAACTTGCGGCAAAGATGGTATACCGCAAACAAAGGTGCAAAGATTTTTTGTACACCATATCCGGATTTCGACAATTAATGTCTCTTCAGTGATGTTAGGAATCGAAACGGTTATTGGATGCCACATAATTTACCTCAATTTAGGATAGACTCTTGAATTATGATTATTATTACCAAACATCGTCCAATATATATACATAAACATCAGCCCAACAATGTCGCAATTTTTTTGTTCTTCCCTCGCCGGGATTTGGATATATATATATATATATATATATTGGACGATGTTTGGTAATAATAATCATAAAATGTATCATACCAATTATAGAATCCTAATTCATTGAGCTATTTCCCCGAATGCAGATGGCAGTAGATTTACAGTTGGCATTTATTTAGATTAACATATATAATAAATCAGGTCATATTTGGTAAATAACAAAAATCTAAACCGGAAGTACAAACACTATGTGAATAATTATGAAGACGAAATTTGTCAAATTACGATGCTATATTTAATCTCTAAAATAAGTATTTCCTATTTCATTCAAGATTTCAGAGACTTACATGCCGTCACCATGAATATATATAATTCAGTACGTCCATCCGAAGTTTACATGATAATAAAAGGGAAAATATTATAGATCACGATATGGAACATAGGTTAATTTATCTGAATCTGATCACATGATACAATACTTTGGAGCAGAAATATGAATAGCTAGAAGTTATGAGCATGCGTCAATGAGACAAACAAGGAAACGACAAAAATAACCACTAGTATTCTAGAGGGAAACATACAGTCTTCAACAACAGACAGGTGTCTATGCAATAAATCAAGCTCTAAATCGTCTCAAGTATATATAAATACTGTGGATAAATTTAACAAAAACAATCAAAGATTTGCAATAAACATCCAATTCTCCAAACAACGAAAAAAGTTAAGATCTGACATATGAGAAATATCTGCGAGGTTCCTGATATGGGAAAAGCACACAAAATGTGGCGGTTTTAAACTAGTTTTTGCGATCTACTCCCCCTTTATTTTTCCTTTTAATCTCGATCAGTAGATTAAAAAACGTACATAAAAGAATATACAATAAAAACCAGTAAAGCAAAAGCATTTAACCAAAAAAAAACACGGTATAATGCATAACAAAACACAAAATAAATGATATATTTCAGCGTATTAAAGGAGCCCAGTTCCGCATATGTACTTAGTTAATAAGAATCTTTAGATATACCATGAATAAAGTCATACATTAACCCTCTTTTTACTGCGATAGTATGCCCAGTTGGATGATATATCAAGTGCTTTAATCTGTAATGTTTTCAAAGTTAATTAATCAATGTATTTTTACCATGAAATTTTGTGTGAATCTGAAATGTACATGGTGAGTAAATGGTCCAAATTCCATTTTTACCGGAATGAGTGTTATTGACCTTATTCCAACCAAAACAGTTTTGAATACTAAAATGAGGTTATGAGTTTTCAAAAATTCTAAGAAACCACGAAGGGATCAACCGATATTGCATTACTATTGAAATAACAGACGAATTGAGAGTAAAAGCTGCACTTGCATTACAATAAAATTTAATGGAACGAAAAGGGAGAGGTTAATGACGGGATCTTTCTTCAAGCAGTTTTGAATTTACTCATCTTTCATAAGATGAACAGCAAATGCTATTGGGTCATAGTCAGTGACACTGAACCAAACGCCAATAGTCTTCCGTTGTGTAGTCGAGGAATTTACCTTAGTTCTAGTTTTTTACGTATACGACAGCGTATGGATGTAACGAAATGGTTCTGTTGACGAATCGATCTTCTTCTTTTCAAGCCTTATAAAGGTGACAAAACGGTTGATTGTTTTTAAAAACTGTAAATTCATCATCATATTCTCATACATTCATTTGAATTTGTTATCATATATGTTAAAATTAAAATCTTATAGGTAGATACGCTCTGTCATATAATTAATTGTTATCAGAGATGTTTTATGAAATATATTGCAACGAATCAAAGATCTGTAAAAGCTCTACTTACAAATTCCATGGCCACTCTATTCCGTAAGAGCCAAACATTTATCTATTGACATTGAAAAACAATTGATACTAATACTATTCTACAAAGAAACTCAAAACATAAATATTCAATGATAAATCAAAGAAAAATAAGTTCACACAAAAGAAAACGTGTAATAACAAAATAGTACTAAATTCCTACACAGAAAAAAAACCCATTACAAGCATACCATAACAAAGGTGACAAGCTGTAAAGAAGAGACAATACATATTGTAAAATAAAACCAAATATGATTTAAATGCATTCACAAGTTTGACATGAATATGTTATTGTACTAGTGGTGCGTGTATGATATGTTTTCAAGGCAATACATCATATTTCCCCCTCAGTCTGTTATTTCTGAGAATAAATTGAAATTTTATTTGTTCTGAAATAAAACACTAAACGGTACTAAGTTTACTGCACCAGATGCACAT